GGTTTGAGCATTTTCCAGACTTTTAGATATATCCCTCTAGTACAGATTCTGCTTTACTTTCTAAGGATAGAGCCAAGGGTAAAGGATGTACCACATTCTGTGCAATTGTAAACTATCTTTTTTGTATGTGTTTGTGAGAACTGCCATCATTTGACATATTATTAAAGGAATTGTCACTTTCCTTATATTTGTAGTGTCTACCTTTACTGTAAATTCTTGGATGTTCTCTAAGAGTTGAAACACAAGTACAGGACTTCTCAAACCATTATAATTATGGGGTCTCTCTCTAGTATTAAATCTCTCAAGTCCCCTTTGTGGTGAGCTTTCCATTTTTCACATTCTTCTTATCTGAATGTTTACTTTCCAGTATGAATTCTCTGATTAAACATTAAATCTGACTAAAGGACTTGTCCCATGCTTCACATTTCTAGGGTTTCTCTCAAGTATAAATTGCATTATGTGCTCTTATCCAACACATCTTTTCTTTCTTTTCTTTTTTTCTTTCTGACACAGGGTCTGCCTATAGCCCCAGCTAGCCTGGAACTCACTATGTAGACCATGCTGGCTTTGAACTCACAGGGATACACCTGCCTCTGCCTCCTGAATGCTGGGATTAAAGGTGTGCCTAACACATCTTTCAATAAGACTTCTTGCATTGCTCATATTTCTTGGAATTCTCTCCAATGGGAATTCTCTTATGTTTCTTATAAATTGAGCATATCATAAATGTTTGTCATATTCTTCACATCTGTAGTATTTCTCTCAAGTATGTATCTGCTGATGTGCTCTCAGAGGTGACATTTGACTAAAGGACTTGCCACATTCTGAACATCCGTAGGGTTTCTCTCCAACGTGTATTCACTGATGTGCTCTCAGATGTGACATTTCACAAAAGGACTTGCCACATTCTTCACATCTCTAGGGTTTCTCTCTAGTATGTATCTGCTGGTGTGCTCTCAGATGTGACATTTGACAAAAGGACTTGCCACATTCTTTACATCTGTATGGTTTCTCTCCAGTATGTATTCGCTGATGTGCTCTCAGATGTGACATTTGACTAAAGGACTTGCCACATTCTTCACACCTGTAGGGTTTCTCTCCAGTATGTAATCGCTGATGTGTTCTAAAATTTGACGTTTGAGAAAAGGACTTGCCACATTCTTCACAACTGTAGGGTTTCTCTCCAGTATGTATTCGCTGATGTGTTCTCAGATGTGATATTTGACCAAAGGACTTGCCACATTCTTCACACCTGTAGGGTTTCTCTCCAGTATGTATTCGCTGATGTGTTCTAAAATTTGATATACATCTAAAGGACTTGCCACATTCTTCACATCTGTAGGGTTTCTCTCCAGTATGTAATCGCTGATGTATTCTAAGACCTGACGTTTGAGAAAAGGACTTGCCACATTTGTGACATCTGTAGGGTTTCTCTCCAGTATGTATTCGCTGATGTGTTCTAAAATTTGATATACATCTAAAGGACTTGCCACATTCTTCACATCTGTAGGGTTTCTCTCCAGTATGTAATCGCTGATGTACTCTAAGATCTGACATTTGACTAAAGGACTTGCCACATTCTTCACACCTGTAGGGTTTCTCTCCAGTATGTAATCGCTGATGTGTTCTAAAATTTGATATACATCTAAAGGACTTGCCACATTCTTCACATCTGTAGGGTTTCTCTCCAGTATGTAATCGCTGATGTATTCTAAGACCTGACGTTTGAGAAAAGGACTTGCCACATTCTTCACATCTGTAGTGTTTCTCTCCAGTGTGTATTTGCTGATGTGCTCTCAGATGTGATATTTGACAAAAGGACTTGCCACATTCTTCACATCTGTAGGGTTTCTCTCCAGTATGTATTCGCTTACATACTGTAAGAACTGACATCTCAATAAGAGACTTTCCACCTTCTTCACATATTTACGATTTCTCTCCAGTATGTATTTGCTGATGTCTTCTAAGATTTGTCCGTTTCACAGTGAAACCTTTTCCACATTCACTACAAATGTAGGACTTTTCCGCTGTATGACCCCTCTCGTGCACAAGATTGCTCTTGACAGGGGGAGGCGCGGGAACAAGATGGCGCCGAGCAGCTGAGGTGAAGGCGGAGCCAGCTGGCCAGCTTGGCGCGCCACACAGCACCTCTGTAGCACATCACAATTTCAGCTCTTCATGGCCTCTGCTCCCCGCAGGCCTCTGGAACCCTTCAGTTGCTACTTCTGGGTTATCCCTGGGGCTGGCAACCCCAGAACTACCTGAGCTTCATGTTACCAGCTCCTCCCACAACAGGGCCAGTTAGATGAGGTTTTGCTGGGGCCTAGTGTTTGTTGCATAGGGGCAGAGTGGGCAATGGACAGTAGGGAGATTGCCACGACTGACTCCCGGAAAGTGAGAGAAATGCCACTTCTACAGCCAGTAACACACACACATGTATGAAGGAGTTATTACTCTCCAACCAGACTGAGAACTGCCCTGAGCAGGTTCTGAGCAACCGTGGGCAGGATTATCCCAAGAAACTGTAGGTGGGGTCATCTAAGGGTCATCTGAGGCCCGGGTCGAGTGGTGTCTGGAGTAACCATGGCTGAAGCAGAGTCTCCTGAAGGGATGCTCTGTCAGAGGAGCAGCCAGGACAATCTGTAGTTCCCTTGACTAGCATAAAATGCTTCCCACTGTCCAGGACTCATCTGGAGGCCCCCTAGGCAGCACAAAGTTTTTAAAAACCGCTGTCACTGTCGTGATGCCAACCTGAGCAACCACCAAGGGAACAGCGGCTTGATTGACAGTTCCCCTGGTTCTGTGAAAACAGTGGGGCTGAGGCTGCAGTTACTGCTGCCCCGTGGATTTGGGGAATGGCAGCAATAGCATTCAAAGTCTTCAGGAGCCATGGAGACAATAACAGCAGCTTCCAGTCCCACCTCCCTCTCTGTCCAACCTAGGATAGGAACCGGGTTCTGCTCACAGCTGTCACTCTGGCTCAGTACAGGGAAAAGATCCGACAGCTGTCAATCAAGCATCCAGCTTTCCTCATGAAAGGGGGAAAAAACATTAAACGCATTCTTAATTTCTAGCCAGCTACCCTTAGGGAGAGTTGGTTTCTCCTCACCTGGTTCTGAAGCATCCTGGGCCGGACTGTATCCCTACCTGCCGCCATTCCTGTAGAATGGAGATAATGAAACACTCCTTACAAAGTTGAGGTGAAACCTGCGGTACACCCCAGCTTCTCCATTCGATGACACGGCCCCCTTTTTCACAATTTCACACTTTTATGATTCTATTTCCAAATCCAGGGCATGCAGTACTGGATTACAGCTCTCTCTCCTTGCCTATGAGCTCAGGGAAGTGAGACAAATCTCACTTAAGCCATTATAGAATTTTCCGGAGAGGAAGCTGCCATAGATAACTCTGAGACATGAATGCCAAGCACATAGTATGGCACATCCACCTGTCCAAGGTTTCCCCTTGGATAAAAGGGGAGTCCATCCTTGGCCCAGTGCAGATAAGCTGTTAAGAATGTAGCACAAAAGCTCGGGTGAAAGTTCTGGAATTAACAGTCCTGCATGTGATCTTAAGAAAATCACTTCTCTAAATTTCCTCATCTGTAAGATGGAAGCAATAATGTGCTGCTTTCCAGGGTAGCTGTGAGGAATAAGATGTGGGTGGTGGTGTAGAGTCTGTACCTGTGCTCAGTCAAGGTCAGCTGAGGAACCCAGAGGAGATGCCCTAAAATTTCGTTTGAATGAATTTTGGATCATTGTTATACCCAAGATGGGAATTTTCCAACTCCTACAAATTTCTACTTTGAAGACAAAAACATTATCAATAAAAATCATGAGCTCAAATATAGGCTTGAAAAGAAAACATAGAAATGCAATTCATTTTCCCCTGAATGAAGAAGATAAACACTGTGCATTAGATGGTGAGAAATCACCAACAGAAAAGAAAAAAATCAAAACACAGAATATAAAGCATTACATGAAATCCATCACTCTATCCATTGGAAAAAACTGACCAAATACTGGACAAGGAAACCAAAAATGTGCTAGTAAAAACAAATTAATAAAAATGCAGGTGAGACATGGTTAAAATTGACTTCAATGAAATACAAGTTGTCATTAAAGAATAACTGATACATGTTCAGAAACCTAAAAGAAATGGATTCAAAAGAAATGCAAGAATTCCTAAAGGTGTTTGACGTGTCAATATTAAATGCAAAAGAACAAAAATTAAGCTTCATTCCAATATCTCCAAGGAATGACAGCCCGAGTCTAGATGGGGTCATTGCCGTTATCTCACAATTTTTTTTTCATTTACTTAACAGTATATTTGGAAAACAAATGAAGAAAAAATAGAGCTACATAGAAAGTTAGGTATTACCCATGTATCAATATATATGTTTTAATTTGTATATTATATTTGTGACCATTTAAGTAGAAGAAGACTGATAATGGCACGTGATGTACATCTTTTTATTTTTATGACACATTTTATTAGTTCTATGAGAATTTCAAAGAATGTGTCTTTATGTAATTGCCCTTCACTCCTAGAAGTCCTTGCAAGTCCATCCCTTCACGAACTTCCCACTACTTTCTTCTCAGAATTTTTTTTTATTTTTTTTACTCAAATATAAAATTTGCACTGAACTAAACATAAACACTTGAATATGGGGCCTTCCATGGAGAGAGGGTGACATACCTGACGCGACACCCTTGAAGAACACTCACCTAGCACCTATCAATTACCAACAGCTCCTGACCAAGGGGTGGAATTTGTGCCCAGCTCCCACTCTCCATTCTGGGATTAAAGGCTACTGACTACTGATGTACAACGTTTTAAAAGATGATCTTAGACATGTCTGTTCTGTCCTTGGAGAACTGCCTGTCCAGATCCTTGCACCATGTACAATGAGCTGTATATTTTTTGACGTTTAGTATTTTGAGTTTATCGTACATTCTAGATACCAATCCAGAATTTGATGACAAGATGCAGAATTTGATGACAAAACTCAGAATTTGATGACAAGATGCAGCTGCTGAAGACACTACACCCATGAGCTATAGAACAAAAAAGGAGAAATCAAGTTGGTACTGACTTCAAAGCTTCATCTCTGCTGACTAGTCTTCATAGTGCTGGATGGTGCTTTGTATGCGACCACAGAGAAAACTGATCATCAGTGTAACACAGATGTGAATCCTGCGAGCTACAACAAAACTGTCAGTGATAAAGCTTCTGTATGCAGCACATGGTGAATCATACGGAGGTCCACAAGTGACCAATGTGCAGAAAATTAGACTACATAGTACCTATCTCCAATAGATACCTATATCAAAATTCTGCCCGAGAAGCCACAAGGATGGTTGCTGAAAAGAAAACAAAAATATTTTGAGAGTCACCTATGGTGGATTAACACAAAGAAATAGAGATTTACAGATAATTTATAGATAATTGGGAAAAACCTCATGAAATCACAGCATAGGTCACAGCATGTACAAGTCCCACATAATTTCTGGACAGGCAAAATCTCAGCATAGACTTGGAGAGGTTGGTAAGAAACACCAATGATACTTGAGGAAGTATTGGGCATGTCAGGCTTCAGGGAGAGGGAGAAAGTTTCTCTTTCATGGATGGAATACTTTTATAAGTTGACTGAGATCCAGTGAATGTCTGCATACACATACACACACACACACACACACACACACACACACACATATATATGGAGAAAGAAAGAGATGGAGAGACAGAGAGAATATGAAATTGGTAGGGGTAGTAAATGGAGTACAGGGATAGGGGAGATTATCTGAATACAATCGACATATACTATATGAAATGTTTTTTAATTTAATAAAAATGAAAATAAATTGAACCTGAGAATATTAAGCGCATGAAAACAAAATCTACTATATTGTGAAAAGATACATTCGTTGCTCACATGAAATATTCAAATGATTAATATAAAGGTAATTAAAAATATTATTTATTTATTTATTTATTTTTATGTGTATTACCTCCGTGTACGTGAGTGCACGCATGTTGTGCAATGCTGTGGAGGTCAGAAGAAGGCTCCAAATTCACCTGTAACTAGAGTTAAGGATGGTTTGTAGCCACCATATGGGTGCTAGGAATCATCCCAGGGCCTTACAAGAGCAGTCTGTGCTCTTAATTCCTGAGCCATCGCTCCAGCCCCATGGTTATGGTTATATTTTTTTATTGATTGTGTGTGAGTACGTGTATTTCATACATAACATCCCAAAGAATCTCATTCATCTTTATACCCACATTCCAAATGGCACCTTACTATAGCTCCTGCCCTCTGAAGCCCATATACTCTGTCATTACTGTTACTGCCCAGTGTGCTGTTAGTGTCCTCAGCCAGTCACCAGTGCAAGTTCATCCACTAAGTTTAATCAGCTTATCTAGAGTCCCTTGTTTTAGGAAGATCAGTTCCAGCAGCTGATCTAGCAGCAATCAGTTGCCAACAGTCCTTTAGATTGGAGTCTATTGTTCATTTTCCTAGTTCTCTGCTGGGTTACTGTTTCCTAGAATCTCGTGTATGCTGACATCTTTGCCCAGGATCTCCTAGGACCCTGTTTCCATAGGGTTATTCCCATCATCCCTGGCTCTCACAGTCCCTCTTCTCCCTCTTGAATGATGGAACCTGAACCTTGGGTTGATGAAGTTTTATAAAGGGATCCTCTCCAAGGACCACTGTGTAGCAGGCTCTTGCTCTCTACACTTTGGCCATTTGTGACTGTCTCTGTTCCTGGCACTCCACTCCATGAAGGAGCTGCATTATAAAATAAAATAAAAGTAGCCCTAGAACTCAATGAAAACGACAATACAACGCAAAAAACCTCTGGGACACATTGAGAGCAGTCTTTGGAGGGACGTTTATAGCTCTAAGTGCCTACATTAAAAAAATCAGGATGAAACCAAACCCCTATCTTTCACATTGCACAAAAGTCAACTCCAAATGGATCAAAGACCTCAATGTGAAGCCTGAAACACGAAACTGTTAGAAGAAAACTTTGGTAATAACTTACTAGATATAGGTGTAAGAAAGGATTTTTTTCAACTGGACATCAGTTGCTCAGGAAATAAGGTCAAGAATCAACAAATGGGAATTCATTAAACTAAAAAGCTTCAGTACATCAAAAGAAGTAACGAAGGAAATGAAGAGAAAATCCACTAAGTGGGAGAAAATCTTCATCAGTAACACTTCTGATAGAGTTTTATCATCCAGAATACATAAAGAACTCAAAAAAAAATCAAGAAAGGAAGTAAGCCAATTTAAAGATTGGCTAAGAAGCTCATAAAAGAGATCTCAAAAGAAGAAATAAAGAGGCTAAGAACATCTTAAAAGGTGTTAAACAACATTAGTAATTAGGAAAATGAAAATTAAAAACACTTTAAAATTTCATCTTACCGAGGTCAGACAGGCGAAAATCAAGAGAGCAAATGATAACAAATGTTGCGGAGGATATGGGGAAAGGGGACCACTCATCCACTGAAGGTGGGATTGCAAGCTTGTTAAAGCGCTATGGAAAGCAGTGTGGAAAACCCTTAAAAACTAAAAATGAACCTGCTGTTTTACCCAGTTATACCACTCCTTGGCATATACCCCCAAAATGCATGCTATTGCAGAGATACTTGTACATCCATATTTGTTGCTGCTCTTTTCACAATACTTAAGAGATGGAAGCAATTTAAGTGTCCCTTAACTGACAAGTAGTTAATGAAAATGGGGTATATTTACACAATGGAGTTCTACTCAGCAGTA